GCACCATGACGCAATTCACTCCGCCTGAAATTTGGAAATGCCTTACTACAGTGCTTGGCATTCGCGCCGGAATCGCCAATACGAACATTTCAAAGTGATTAGGTGTCAATCTGAGGACATTTTAGAGGCTTCGGTAAGAGTTGGATGAGTCTAATGGTGTTGTGGTACGATCCACCTAATTTACATAGTGGGGTACCGACCATATAAATATGGGTTGGTACCGGGAAGACGGGGGAGGAAGAAGAGATCCAATCCAGAGACTCTGCCCGACTGCGACTAAGTCAACCCATTCTACAGGAACGGTCTTCCCAAGAATATACCAAAAGACTATCTGTAAATATTGTGTACACTTTCTTGTTTCAATACATTTTGTTTAAGTACATTTTGTGTTGTATTATTATTATTCCATGCTTTATTCAAGTTTCAACAAATGGTGATTACAATGGTACGACAGCTTGGAAAACTCACTCTGATCGTTCTGATAAAAAATCCCGAATTTGTTGGTTAAGGCTTCAGATTCAACACGGAGACCTACATCAAGTACCTTGAGGAGGTAGTGCTACCCTGGATCAAGAGGGTGGCTGCTGGAAAACCCCATGTCTGCCAAAAGGACTCTGTACCATACCACACAAGCAGGGCAACCCTGTCATGGCTGTCAGACAATTTCTGCGACTACATCACCCCTAACACCAGACCAGTTAATGCCAACCTCCTTAATTATTATGTGTGGGTCGCAGTTGACCTAGAAACCAACAAAACTCCTTTTACCACCAAAGATGAACTGAAGGCAAGGATTATGGCAACATTCACCAACTTAAACAAGATCCCGTCCAGAAGAGTTGCAGGAGATTCCGAAGTCGTCTGAAGGTCGTGGTTGAAGCCAATAACGAATTTATTGAATAAATTTACTCTTTAGGATTTCAAAATATTTTTGTGTCATTTTGGCAAATATATCTGTTAAAATGAAATGTCAGAGTTATTTTCATTCTTGCGACAATCTATCCATCGCAAACTGTATATTTCACTAGTTGATAAACCGTAAAAATCAAATCAGTCAATTTGTTAATCATAAACTAGTATATCCAACTCATTTATTCGCAATGATTCTTCTCCCCCGGTTAGAGATTTGCAAAAAACCAGCATAGTTTACAAATTCAAGTGCCCTTTGGGAGATTGTATCTCCGACGAATTAAATAATATTCATGTTCGTCACACCACAAACTCACTTTCACGACGCTTGACACTACTTTTGAATGAGAACTCTAAATTTTAGACATTTAAAACAACATGCCTGGCCGCATACACAATTCCGGAATATCCTTGATGAAAACACAATTATACTTAAACATGAAAACAATAAACAAAAACTAAAAATTCTTGAAGCTTTATACATAAAACAGTTGAAATCTAACCTGAAAAAAAATAAACTATGAAATCTCCACAAATATTCTTAAATGCCTATAATTGTTAACTGAAGCCATTGGTTTATACCAACGGCTTCCCATACTTAATACTTCTCGAATACTCACGATCGCGTGGTCATGTGTGACGTCATGACCTGCGGTGTACGAATTTGTCGTTGCTTGGAAATCTTCCATGTAAACAGAAACAGACTATCATCACTGTCTTGTCCGTGTATTGCTTAATATATTGTACAGTAATTGTCATCTTTGATAGTGGCTTATGTAAGCCGAAAGCTTAGATAGGATTAAAAAATATCTATCAATATTGTGATTTTCTTTCTTCATTTAATGATAATGTTATTAAGCTTATCAGACGACATGGAAAGAATTTACGTAAAATAAATAAACAACACTTTATATTATTTAATGAAAAATGTATCAATGACAAAATGCTGCCTATATATATATATATATATATATATATATATATATATATATATATATATATAAAGAAATATAGTTTTAACGTATGCTATATTTATGGAATAAAGTGTTCAATATCAGGGATAGAGCGTATGTAAATATAAAATTGAACATTGAAGTCAACATTTAGAGGTGGCAGTTACTATTTGTGAAAGATGTTTTGTGTACGTAGTTTCTTTGTTTCCAGGGTCGTTCAGTTATCGTTCAGTTACTCCTATGCATATTTGTCTTTGTTATCTGATGATTTTGTCGTGGCTTGTTATATTACATTGTTTTGTAAGCAATTGGATATATATATATATATATATATATATATATATATATATATATTCGAACTCTAGTCAAATCCATTGTTGCATGTAGTGCATCAGGTCTCTGTATTCAGCCCTTCAAAAAGTGTGGATGGTTCTGCACAAAACTATAATCAAATCACATGTCCTGGTGTCTAAGCTGCTAAACCCTCATACGTCGAATACGACGGGAAAGTCGAATACGACGTGAAAGTCGAATATATATATATATATATATATATATATATATATTATAAAAAGGCTTAAAAACTACTATTAGTGTTTAAGCCTTTTTATTATATCCTTACTCTGTCCTGGACATTGAGTTCTACCTGGATTCTATCCTCTTGGAATTTTTATTCAAAAAATATACATGTATGTGTATGCACCTATGTACATATATTTTGCACATGTATGTGTATATTTACCGCTGATATTATCTATATATATATATATATATATATATATATATATATATATATATGACGTCACACATTCTGAAATGGACAAAATCCGACAATTATTTTAAGACATTTTTATGTTTAACATGCTTTTTATAGATACAAATATTTAAGTAAATGCTCTGTTTATAATAAACAGTATTAATCAACATTTACCAGCCTGAATGTCCGAGAAATTTTTACAGAAAATATTCGTCCTCCGACAGGATTCGAACCTGTATCCTGTACGGAACCGTCATTTAGCTTGACGTGCCTTTAACCGATTTGGCCACAGAGGAGAGTTCGGTTAGCAAGGTCGAATTTACTGTATTTAAACTTCAATCTTCTATGAATTTCACGTACACATTTGGTGTGAAAATGTATTTGTTGTTAACATTCTTTTTTAATTCGTTTTTTTTTTCCAGTTACGAGTCCTTTTTTAAAGCTGATCGTTTTGTGTTCATTTTGTTTAGTTCTTTTTTCGTAACAGATTTAATGTTTAGTATAGAGCTTAGAAAAAATTCGCAGTGTGAGATAGGCAAGAAGTAAGGCATGTAGCAACATCAGCACGGCAAGGGCACTCCTTTAAAGGCAAGGAAGGGCAAAAATATTTTAAGTCAAGTGATAGCGATTGCTGTATGAGTCGTACGATTTTTGAATCAAGCACGGGCAACGCCAGGCCATGCTGCTAGTATTATATATTTGTTAAGGTTAAGTTCGAGGGTGAGGTCTAAAGCTAAGTTTATGACTGTAGCTTCAGCACTGAAAATTGAGGTATTGTCTGGTAGGCATTTTTGGTGCGTGGTGTTGATAGAGATAGCTGCACTTCCAACTTTATTCTTGTCCTTAGAGCTATCTGTGTATATTTGTGTCCAGTTTGTGTGTTGTTCTAGGATATTATTGAAATTATTGATATAAGTTGATTTTGGAAGGTACTTCCATCAATTGTCATGGCACAATAGGTTTTTCAATATTAATCTGAGTTGTCGTCAGAATCCAACTTGCAAATTTATAAATCTACCATTCATCTGTGCATTGAATATTGCCACCCCTCTGGTGTTCCGACTCTATATCTCGAGACTTTTGACGAAATTTAAAGAAGGGTTTGCAATGTCGTCGCTTCTGACCAGTCATCTCGACTTCTACGTGACGTGGCTTCCCTATGTCTTTTCGACGAATATTTTCATGACAATTCTGGTGTGCTATTTCCCTTGGTGTCTCGACTGCGTGCTATTAGATTGACAACTAGGTCTTAACGTTATGCTGTTGAACTATCTAGATGCAGCAGTAAGTCCTACCGCTTCCTTCCGATTTCTTGCTTCCCTGTCAACTACAGCCTTCAAAAATTAAATGTCTTCATATCTCTTCTTTTATTGTCCTTTCTCTTTTCTCTTCACTCCTCATTGAAGTCTTCTAATTCTCTTTCGCTAGTGGAATCATCGCTTTGCTTACGGGCTCAAATGATTTAACGATGTTCTTGGGTTGGTCGTGAGTAAAAATCAGAAACAGAGCAGGACTGAGTAAGGAGCCTTAGGTGTATGTCTGCATAGATCTCATGGTCTTCAAAAGTGGGGCCATTCACAGAGTCGTTCATAGATATAAAAAAAAGAAAAATAATTGCCTAGACTTTCTCAGAGATACCATAGTTTGATAGTCTGTGTAATAAAACTCCTGTATTATATTTGCTTGAACTGAACTCACAACCTCATTGCTGACAAGATTTGACGGTCTTTAGAGTTCAAAGTCGTTTACGCGCCCTTTGTGGGGGATAATATATTTCACACCCTGCAGCTTAAACGTTATATATATATATATATATATATATATATATATATATATATAAATAAATATATATAATATATATATATAATAATAATATATATATATATATATATATATATATATATATATATATATATATATATATAATAATATATATATATATATATATATATATATATATATATATATATATATATATATAAGCTAACACCTAAATTTAAGCAGACCTGAAAAGGGAAAATATTTGCCTAGACTTTCTCAGAGATACCATCGTTTGATAGTCTGTGTAATAAAACTCCCGTATCATATTTGTTTGAACTGACCTCACAACCACATTGCTGACGAGACTTGATAGATGTCCGGTCTTAGAGATCAAAGTCGGCCACCTGTGGGTGATGACATATTTTCCACCCTGCAGCTTAAACGTCGCAAGCATAAGCTCACACCTAAATTTAGGCAGACCGAAAAAGGAAAATATTTAACCGCCTTCACCTTTCTCGGGTGTAATTATTGTGGTTATAATTATTATTTTCTTTCGTTTCAGATTTGTCCATTATATACAGTTTTCCAGCATGTTCGCCAGCATCTTCACCTTAGCAGCCATGGCGGTTGAGCGCTATTCAGCCATTCGTTTCCCGATCTGGACCAAGTTCGTACGTAACCCTAAGACAGCCACCGTCATTAGCATGAGCATCTGGTTGGCTTCTCTCTGCCTCGGTGTCCCGGCCGCCATCGTCTACACCGTCTTCGAGTACGAAGGCGTCTATTACTGCGCCGACTCGTTCGGCGAAAGCCATCACTTACGCCCGACTTTCTTCCTCGTTCTTTTTCTCATTGGTTATGTCATTCCGCTGTCTACAATCTTCATCCTCAGCACGCTGACGGTATGCAGCTTGTGGAGCGCCACGGGACCAGAAGGTATAAACGTCGGGGTTTCGATGCGCAGCAAGAAGCGCGCCACAAAAATCGTCATCTCCCTGGTTCTGGTCTTCGCCTGCATGTGGTTTCCATACCACCTCAACTGGATCTGGGTGAATTACTTCGGCTCCAGCTTCACCAACTCCTACTTCTTCTACTATTTCCAGGTGTTCGCCTATTTATTCGCTTTCACGAACTCTGCCCTCAATCCGCTTGTCTATGCTTTCTGTTCGGAGAACTTCCGGAAGCGACTGTGTCGTTGCTCGCAGCCGAGCATTGAGACCCGCTCGGCTACCTTCCATTCTCGCCTGGCCGAATCCAGCGAGAGAAGTTTGCCACAGTTCTCACAGGAGATGCTCATGCACAGAATAGCACCTTAAATAAATAAATGAGTAAGTCACGAGCGCGTATAAAACGAAAGCGTCGGGAGAGATGTAAAGAACCAAAACAAATGGAGACAACTACAAAGGTGAAAACTTGCTAGAAATAATTCAGGAAAAAAAAAAGACTCTCCAAATGGTTGTATTGACAGAATGGGACTTAAGTTCGAAGAGGCGCATATGTGAAGGGGTAAAAAATTTTCCTCGGTTCTATAATGTCTGTTAATATGTTTACCTTGCCCTAGAGCAACTGCACTATAAATTCATGTTGTTTTAAATGCCTAAAAATGTTAGAGTTTTCATTAAGATGTAGTGTCAAGCGTCGTGAAAGCGAGTTTGTGGTGTGACCAACATAAATATTATTTAATTCGTTGGAGATACACTCTCCCAAAGGGCACTTGAATTTATAAACTATGTTGGTTTTTTGCAAATCGCTAATCGGGGGAGAAGAAAAACAACATGCCTGCCCGCACACACAATTCCGTAAAATACTTGTCGAAAACACTACTATACTTCGACATGAAAACAATAGACAAAAACTAAAAATACTTGAAGCATTATACATCAAACAGTTAAAACCCAACCTAAACAAAATCAACTATGGAATCTCTACAAATATTCTTAAACGTCTATAATTTCAACAATTGGTTTCCTTATTTCATTCTCCATTTCACTCTCGTGTAGTCATGTGTGACGTCATGAGATGCGGTGCGATTTTCGCTTCTAGCGTCTTATATGCGCGTGTTCATCGTTGCTTAGTGATTCACTATGTAAACAAAACAATGACAGACTATATCATCACTGTCGTGTCCGTATATTGTTTGATATGTTTGTATTTACATCTTTGATAATGGCTTGAGTAAGCCGAAAGCTTAGATTTTATCAAATAATGGATAAATATTGTGAATTTCTTTTTTCGGTTAATGATAATGTTACCAAACTTATCAGAAGATACGAAAAAATTTTACATAAAATAAATAGACAACACTTGTCTATATTATTTAATGAAACGTGTATATATATATATATATATATATATATATATATATATATCGACGGTTTTGTTTAAAATCCCTATTTTGTTGATTTCATATGAAAACTTGGAAAGTTTCCAACATTTTTCAATGAAATATTCACTTTCCAGAACTATAGGTTACTAGTTTTAGCCCGTAAAAATTTCACAGTTTTCCTTTTTTTAAATTTCTTATTTCTTTAGTTAATGATTGAATAAGCTCATGGCAAATTCTACGACTATGAAATATTTGTAGAAGTTCCCCTATCGCATCATTAAATGTTTGAGCTTAACAACTTTAACAAAATATTGCAATAACAATCATAAATATGAATTATTATAAGAATTAAGCAGGTACAAGCGGAAAGATTTGAAATGCATAACTTTTTCCATTTCCCAAAAACAGATGTTAAACACTTGCACCTGACCTTCTTTCTTACATTTTCTCACTGAAAGCAAGTGGTGTCCATTGTCTTTCCACGCGATCAAAACGGGATAGTCCATTATTTATGAGGTATTGGCAGGAGACGTTAAACATTGATATCTATCTATCTATCTATCTATCTATCTATCTATCTATCTATCTATCTATCTATCTTCATTTCAGCCTGTTCATATCTATCTATCTATCTATCTATCTATCTATCTATCTATCTATCTATCTTCATTTCAGCTTGTTCATATCTATCTATCTATCTATCTATCTATCTATCTATCTATCTATCTATCTATCTATCTATCTATCTTCATTTCAGCCTGTTCATATCTATCTATCTATCTATCTATCTATCTATCTTCATTTCAGTTTGTTCATATCTATCTATCTATCTATCTATCTATCTATCTATCTATCTTCATTTCAGCTTGTTCATATCTATCTATCTATCTATCTATCTATCTATCTATCTATCTATCTATCTATCTATCTATCTTCATTTCAGCTTGTTCATTCATCTATCTATCTATCTATCTATCTATCTATCTATCTATCTATCTATCTATCTACATTTCAGCTTGTTCATATCTATCTATCTATCTATCTATCTTCATTTCAGCTTGTTCATATCTATCTATCTATCTATCTATCTATCTATCTATCTATCTTCATTTCAGCTTGTTCATATCTATCTATCTATCTATCTATCTATCTATCTTCATTTCAGCTTGTTCATATCTATCTATCTATCTATCTATCTATCTATCTATCTATCTATCTTCATTTCAGCTTGTTCATATCTATCTATCTATCTATCTATCTATCTATCTTCATTTCAGCTTGTTCATCATCTATCTATCTATCTATCTATCTCTATCTATCTATCTATCTATCTATCTTCATTTTCAGCTTGTTCATATCTATCTATCTATCTATCTATCTATCTATCTATCTATCTATCTATCTACATTTCAGCTTGTTCATATCTATCTATCTATCTATCTATCTATCTTCATTTCAGCTTGTTCATATCTATCTATCTATCTATCTTCATTTCAGCTTGTTCATATCTATCTATCTATCTATCTATCTATCTATCTATCTATCTATCTATCTATCTATCTTCATTTCAGCTTGTTCATATCTATCTATCTATCTATCTATCTATCTATCTATCTTCATTTCAGCTTGTTCATATCTATCTATCTATCTATCTATCTATCTATCTATCTATCTATCTATCTATCTTCATTTCAGCTTGTTCATATCTATCTATCTATCTATCTATCTATCTATCTATCTATCTATCTATCTATCTTCATTTCAGCTTGTTCATATCTATCTATCTATCTTCATTTCAGCTTGTCTATCTATCTATCTATCTATCTATCTATCTATCTATCTATCTATCTTCATTTCAGCATGTTCAGATCTATCTATCTATCTTCATTTCAGCTTGTCTATCTATCTATCTATCTATCTATCTATCTATCTATCTATCTATCTATCTTCATTTCAGCTTGTTCATATCTATCTAACTATCTTCATTTCAGCATGTTCATATCTATCTATCTATCTATCTATCTATCTATCTATCTATCTATCTATCTATCTATATCTTTGACTAAAACCAAGTAACGTCTCTGACATATCTTGTCTTTCCACGTAATCAATAGTCGATTATTTATCATGTATTGGCAGGACATAACGGTCGTGCGAACTAACTAACGAAGGGAGGGACAAGCCGAATTATTATAAGATAATTATATTTTAAATGTATGGAAAAATAAAGGTGTCAGTTTAAACTGATGTCAGGTGGATATGTTTTTTTAAATGGCGTCTTCGTTTTCCATATATAGTGAGGATTTTGCGTAAAAATTCCCATTTTCTTAATTTCAAATGAAAACCCTGAAATTTTCAAACATATTTTCTCTTCCAAAATTTTAGTTTATAATTATAGTTTAGATATATGAAAAAAAAATTAGGAGTCCGTTTAAACCAGTGTTTTTAAACCTTTTTAAGCAACGGAACACCTAGGGGCAAATGGTAAGATCACGGCACAACTAGGGGCAAATGGTAAGATCACGGTACACCTAGGGGCAAATGGTAAGATCACGGGACACCTAGGGGCAAACGGTAAGATCACGGCACACCTAGGGGCAAATGGTAAGATCACCGCACACCTAGGGGTAACTGGTAAGAACACGGTACACCTAGGGTCAAATGGTAAGATCACGGTACATTAGGGGCAAATGGTAAGATCACGCTACACCTAAGGGCAAATGGTAAAATCACGGCACAACTAGGGGATAATGGTAAGATCACGGTACACCTAGGGGCAAATGTTAATATCACGGGACACCTAGGGGTAAATGGTAAGATCACGGTACACCTAGGGGCAAATGGTATGATCACGGTACACCTAGGGGCAAATGGTAAGATCACCGCGCACCTAGGGGGAAATGGTAAGATCACGGTACACTTAGGAGCAAATGGTAAGATCACGGCACAACTAGGGACAAATGGTAAGATCACGGTACACCTAGGGGCAAATGGTAAGATCACGGTACACCTAGGGGGAAATTGTAAGATCACTGCACACCTAGGGGTAAATGAAAACATAATGTTATACTTAGCAACATTTTTAAAGGGCATACATTTAAGTGTTATGGAATAAAATCATTTTTTTAAATACACTCACAAATATGAACTTACTTTATTTCCATGTTTCTATTCAACTATTTATGCAGCTTATTTAGTGTGAAACCTGCGTTTGGTATTTTTTCGCGATTTCTTCAATGTTTGGTGGAATGTGCGATAAGCAGACCCCCATTTCTTTTTCAATTGAGCGTAGTCTTTCTCGCTTCTTATTTCTGTTGCTATTTAGGATTGAGAAGCCTAATTCACTTAAATAAGAAGTAGAAAATTGCAATAAATCTTATGAATTCTAATGTGTGATATAAAATACACACACAAATATAAACTTACTTTATTTCAATGTTTCTATTCAACCATCTGTGAAACTTATTTAGTGTGAAACCTGGGTCTGGTGTTTACAATTATATGGAGAAAAAAAGTTGATATTCATTTATTCAAATAAAGTAATATTTTAAAAAGTGAAATTAAAAAAATACACTCACAAATATGAACTTTATTTCAATGTTTCTATTCAACTATTTATGCAGCTTATTAAATGTGAAACCTGAGTCTGGTGTTTTTTTTTTTCGCGATTTCTTCAATGATTGGTCGAATTTGTGATAAGCAAATCCTCATTTCTTTTTCAGTTGATCGTAGTCTTTCTCGCTTCTAATTTTTTATGGTATTTAGGATTGATAAGCCTAATTCACATAAATAAGAAGTAGAAAATTGCAATAAAACATATGAAGTCTTTTTAGCTAATGTGGGATAAAAAATACACACACAAATGTAAACTTCAATTATTTCAATGTTTCTATTCAACCATCTGTGAAACTTATTTAGTTTGAAACCTGGGCCTGGTCTTTTTCCACGATTTCTTCAATTTTTGGTCGAATGTGCAATAAGCAGACCCCC